TCGTTCAAACTATGGCCGATATCAGCCATGCCATTCTACAGTTAAATGAAGTGTAGAGTGCCAGTGGTTTTCAGCTCTGTCACGACTTTCGTTTCCACACGATATCTCTAGAACCATTTGAACTATTGCAATGAAATTTTACATAACAACTCCCTGTGGCCTAATAAAGACCCCTATTGATTTTGAGGTCAAAAGGTCAAAGTTCAAGGTCGTAAATTTACACATTCTGTCTGTGTGTAACACTATCATTTACGATATTTCAAGAAGATTTTGAGCTTATTCAATGTAATTTTGTACCAAAACTCCCTAGGACCTCTCTCACCCCTCTCAAAGTGCCCCGCCCCGTTTGTTTTATTAGTATTTATAGTATAACTTGTCGCTATTTTTAGCACAGGGGCATGAGGAGAGTTATTGCATATAAAACAGGTTCTCGGCGGACTTTATGTTCTTTTAACATCTATTAGAACTGTTTAATAAAGGCTAAATAAATCAAACACCATGGGTTGTGTAAAATTTTGACAATACCGAACATGAGTATATACATGAATGTGACTTCACTTCTGCATATAGTTGACACTATGTAAAATAATTCCGTGGTCTGGTGGTATGTTTCTCGCTTCTAATGTGAGAGGTCCCGAGTTCAAGTCCCGGACGGAGACCTACTTTTTTTTTTTTTTTGAAATACTTTTTTTTGCTAAATAATAGTATTCAGCACGCGAAATGAAAAATTTACGAGGTCTGGCTTGTACAAACTCATAAAATCATCATTACAGTGTGTACAAACTCATAAAATCATCATTACAGTGTGATAAATATTCCGTATAAAAAGAATCTTCTATACACATAATAAAGAATAAGCAATTAAATCTGATATCCATAGGTATATTTTATTTGCTTCAGTATACATGCATGTATACATTTAATAATTCTACAAATTCAGTGAAGGGGATCCAACTCTCCCCCACTCCCAGTCCCCCGAACTGCGCATGTTTTACTTTTTCCTTAAGCGGGGGACACAAATTCTCTGAATTAGCTTGTTTTAAATGGAAGAAGCTGTTATTTATGATATACAGAGGAATTGCTGAATAAATTGTACAAAAATCTAGAGGACGTAGGCTAAAAAGGAAGAAAAAACACCTCGGGAGTTTTTAATTTAGATGTTTCGTACAGGTTTGTTGTCCCCCGCTTGAAAAGTGGGGGATATTAATTTGGGTCTCTCCGTCCGTCCGTCTTTCTGTCTGTCTATAACGCTTTCGTTTCCACACGATATCTCGAAAACCCTTTGAGCTTTCGCAATGAAATTTTGCATAGCAACTTCCTATGGACTAAAAAAGAACCCTATTGATTTTGAGGTCAGAAGGTCAAAGGTCAAGGTCATGAATAAGCAAATTCTGTCTTTTATAACACTTTCGTTTCCGCGCGATATCTCGAGAACTCTTTGATCTTTTGCTATGAAATTTTACATAACAACTCCCTGTGGCCGAAGGAAGACCCCTATTGATTTTAAGGTCAAAAGGTCAAAGTTCAAGGTCGTAAATTTATACATTCTGTCTGTATGAAACACTATCATTTCCGGGCGATATTTCAAGAAGATTTTGAGCTTTTGCAATGTAATTTTATACCAAAACTCCCTAGGACCTCTCTCACCCCTCTCAAAGTGTCCCACCCCGTTTGTTTTATTAGTATTTATTGTATTACATGTCGCTATTTTTAGCACAGGGGCATGAGGAGAGTTATTACGTATAAAACAGGTTATCGGTGGACTTTATATTCTTATTACATCTAATAGAACTGTTTAATAAAGGTTAAATTAGATATCATGCATTGTGTAAAATTTTGACAATATCGAATGTGAATATATACATAAATGTGACTTCATCTTTGCATGTAATTTTCACTAGTTTAATGCGGCTCCTTGGTGTAGTGGTATGTCTCTCGGTCCTCAAGTGAGAGGGTCTGGGTTCGCATCTTGGGAGACCTAAGTTTTTTTTTCGAAATACTTCTTTTTTTTTTTTTACTAAATGATAGTATTCATGTGAAATGAAAAATTTATGAGGTCTGGCTTGTAAAAACTTATAAAATCATCATTACAGTGTGATAAATATTCCCTATAAAAAGAATCTTCTATACACATAATAAATAATAAGCAATCAAACCTTTAAATCCATATTGACATATTTTATTTGCTTCAGTATACATGTATACATTTAATAATTCTACAAATTCAGTCAAGGGGATCCGACCAACCCCCCCCCCCCCTTGAACTGCGCATGGTTTACTTTTTCCCTAACCGGGGGACACAAATTCTCTGCATTAGCATGTTTATAATTGAAAGGTCTAGAGGCAAGGGTTTAGGAATATCTCTAGGAAATGAGGGTTGTATACTTCAACTTGAAATAAGGTGGAATGCAAGAGGTTTTTGTGGTTCAGAATTTTATTAATGTGCACACTTCTTTCATTTATAATTTTGTAAAATATACGAGGGTTAATCAAAAAGTTCGCGAACTATCTCTATATCTACAAAGCCACGATTCAGATTAGAAAGAAATTGGTTCACACATAGCAATACATAAGTCCTATAAATAGCATATGCTGAATAAGTTTTGCTCCTTGTTTGTGACTTCACACTGTGAAAATGACGTCACTGTGTAGGTCACTTGTGCAAAAAATTGTTGTCTCAGTCGTACTCGTTCAACGAAGGACTGTAAAGTTTATAGTATATCCTAGAGATTCCTTTGCAGTAGCGTATAATAATTTGTAAACAGTTTATTAAGACAAAAGACTTCCTATAAATTCAATCAATGATTGGATGTATCATTTTAGTGAAGGAAGGCGGATGGTTAAAATGATATGTGTTATGTTGCCCAGTGAAAGCAAGTTTGAAAAGAGATGTGTTTTAATTAAGCAATTTGCTATCAAAGTTTTGATGTTCGCCATACTTATTTTTGGAAAGGATATTCTAATGCACCCATTCTGTTGCCGAGATTTGACCATTTCTGACAAATGAACTGTTCTTGTTATAAAAAATAACTTATACGGAAAGAATTATAAAACTCAGAAAAATCTTTCAAGGGGGTCACATGACCGCCTATATCACGTGATTCGTGCATTAAAATCGGAGAGGACTAATTTAAAATATAATCAACACTGAAACCAAATATTGTTTCTTTTATGGAATTTATTCAATTGGTTCGCGAACTTTTTTATCACCCCTCGTAGAATCGAAATATTTGTCTTAGATTTAATGGATCTGTTCACAAATTTAATGTGTCTTTTCAGAGATAAAGTAAATCTTTTATTTTGTTCCAAAGATTTATTTGAATAAAAAATATTGAAGGGTACACTTCGAGAAATTTGATTTATGTGCTAGACGTTATAATAGTATTAAAAGGCCATATTTAATGCTCCGTGACGCTAAAAGAAGTGCACTTGACTGACTACCCTCTTTTGTTTTTATTCTTAATAAACCCTGTGTATAGATTCAAAAGATATACTTTAGGAAAAAAAACCCTATTTTGATACTTATATGACAGGCATTGTTGAAAATTAACCGCAAACAACAATGAATTATACAAAAGTACTAACAGAAAATAAAGTTAGACCACTTCCTATTTATATTTATTTTCTTGCATCTCAATAAGTTCATCATGACGTGTAAACATGGAATTTTCCTCCTATGAATATGAGAACACATATGGCAAGATTCAAAGTTAATTTGGATAACATAAGGGATGTTAAAACTTAATTCACTTCGGAAGTTAAATAGCATTGTGTAAAGCTTATTCAGCTTAACAAAAACAAAGAAACCACAGTTTTAGTAATAGCCGGATGTAAGTCTGTTTTGTTCGTATTTACACGCCATATTTTTTTTTTCAAAATATAATAAATGCATTTCTAAAGATTATCTAACAATCTGTGAGTAATACATGTATTTCCTTAATTATTCAACAATATCAAAACAATATTATAACCACGAAAAAGGGTTAAAGAAATAAGCGTGGTATCCTACCCTGATATTTTGTTATGTTAGAGTGAAAAAAAAATAAATTAGTATGACATATTTCAGTATTATAGTCAAATTACTCATTACAACAAACACGATTTTAACAGCAGGAAGAAAATAATGTAATACACGAAAATTAATCTCTAACACTCTCCGGAAGGAAAAATACTTGTTCAATAATTCAAGAAGAAATGCAAACATAACATATTTTGTACAATATACATAAGAATTCAATTTTTGTGCCAATAAAAGGAAAGCACGGTTATCGGCGGAAACAAAGTTATAATCAAGCAACCTTAGGAAATCTTAAATCAATTTTTAATTTTTGAAATCATTAATTTTGAGTCAAACACTTAAAATACATATATAAACACTTACGTTCCATTAGTGAAGAACAACACAGATAGTAAACAACACAGATAGTATTTTTCTGTTGTTTTTAATGAAGCTGAAGATACTCTCAGCTGGAAGAGCACAAATTATCACGATCGTTAAAAAAAAAAACAACTGAAATTTGAAAACACATCTATTAGAACATATTTTCCCTCTACATAGATCACACATAAGATAAAATATTCTAGTCACTTAATTTATTTACTATTACATAATACTTATACTGCTACTCTATTGTATATGGGGAGTTTTGTTTAATATCGTGTCAGAAGTTTTCCTGTTTTCTACAAATACTTCCTATACTATACAGATATTAGCTAAAAGGTATAATATACAATTAAAAATGTTTTCTAGAATTAAATGCGTATATTAAAAAGTATTTTGAAAATCAGGGGTATTAAGTACACGATCAAAGTAGGAGGTAACTATGTTTGTTACCTACACAATCGTCGAAACATGTAACTAACAGGATTATAGAAAAAAAAACACCTCGAAATAGTACAGATGAAAGTGTTCGATTTTGCAAGTAGGTGAAATTTTAGAGGGGATTTTTGGTAAGAATAAGAATATATAAGTATTTTTTCATGTCTTTAGAATAAAAAGAAAAATAAACTGTTAAGACTTCATACCAAAGAAATGAAGCAAGTCAAAGGAATGGTTGTCTTTATTTTTTTAATTTCTGTTACATGTGGAAGTTTTGATATAAAACGCGAAGTAGGTAAGTGTCTTTTTATGTGGTAAATATTGCTGTGAGTTATAGAGATCGACAAACATTTCAATTTATTATTATTAATATAATATCTTCCAAGAATTTAAATTCTGTATTTTCTTTGTACAAAGCACGACAGTTCAAACACGAAGATGTGCACAATTTGACCCTTAATAACATTCCATCGTACCTTTCCTTTCTGGTAAGTCTGTGTTTTTTAACAACATTTGTATTAATCCCACATAAGAAAACGTTTTGGGCTTATATCAAAAATAAGCAAAATTTTAAAATTTTAATGATACATATCAAGTTTTTTTTTTTTTTTGAAGGCTTATTCCATATTCAGATCTTTAGCAATCATTAAAAACTCAAATTTCAAGATTTCTTTTATGATGTTTTATGTTTTTCCCATTTCACTTGATTCCACCTCTGATGTTTTGGAGGTACGTATTTGCTCTGCTCCTATTTTGTATTGTTTATGGACTTTTGAGCTTGAATACTGTTCGTTATTTCAATATATTTCATTATTTATTTTGTATTGTTTACTTTTTTTGGTATATTTTTAATATATTTGCTTAATTAAAATTCAAATCAAAGATTGAACATTTAATACATTTTTCACTGAAGTTTTTTCTTTCATATATATTTCATTATTAAAAAAAAAAAACACTTAAAAAACATTTCAATTTTCATAAAAAGTGATTTGAAAATTTAATAAGCAAGGAACTTTTTCGTTAAGCAAATAGGCCCTAGAAAAGAACATCAAAACATTTCACCAATTTTACGTTAAAATATTTTTGGGGAATATAACTATATTTGTCACACTTTGTTGATAGAAATCATAAGAAATAATTTAATAAAATTTCAGAACCAGCATAACTTTTGCAAAAAACAGCTTTTTGGAACAGGAATCCAAAATTAACTTTTACCTGACCTTTATGCAAGAGATATTATATTAGATTTGCACTCCAGATTTAATGTTAGAACTTAAACATGATGCAGAATTTTATAAATAAAGGACCTGACCAAATTACGCTCAAAATCTCAGGAAAAGACTTAAAAAAAAATCATTTCAATTTTCAATGTTCTTATATTTTGTAAAAAAAAAGTAGTTACTTTTACCTGACCTTTATGCAAGAGATATTAATTAAGCTCTTTGAAAAGACAAAAGTGCTTACTTGATCTAATGAAAGTTACTCATATGATTGTATATAATTTGCAGTATACAAGAACAATACGTAATAGTGACGTAATAAAAGATCTGGAAAGAAATCTGACGGGCATAATTAATCACAGGATGAACTTGGATAGAAATATTTCTCATATAATGAAGGAAAAGAAACTAAGAAAGGTAACTGATGTATATTTGATATATATTGTTATAAGTAGGTGGGAATAAGGCATACTTGTCAGATTAATCTTAGGCACGTTTTTTAAACCTAAGACCATTTTTATCATTTCATAAATTGGCATTCCTCTTATTTATTATTAAGCCATTTACATCGATCTACCGCTACACTGAGCTATCTCTACATTAGACACTCATTTCATCATGGTACTTTTATGTAATTAGACTGATAAATAATTTGATATTAGACAGAAAAATAATGCATATATGCACTGTACATGTATTTCAAAAATTTGAAATATTTTTCTACTATTCCTAATATTATCTTGGATCAAGACAGAGAAATTAAACACTTGATTGGTATGTATTTACCTTATAAAAGTACTCAAACGCAACTTCGTTATCTTTGAGGATTTCTCTTGGGTTAAAATATACTCGCACGAAATACCAGTACATGTAATAACTTTTCTCAAAGTCCAAATCCATTTTGCATTAAGATATATTGAAGTTCCGTAAAGGTCTTAATGAGCAATGTCTTTCTTTTTCCGAAATCAAATTTTATGAAATAGAAGATATCAACGAATTTTTTTTTTAATTAAGGAGGTTAGGTCCTGCCATCAAAAGTAATGAAAATTTTTCATTAAGTATGTTTTTAGAATTTAAACATATAGCTTTATTAAAAATCAAAACAAAAATTTGGGGAAAATGCGCTTCTTTTGACTCTAAAGAGCATTTAGTTTGATCTTTGTGCGCTGTTAATACGTCTTACACATAAATCAGTTTTTAATGTTTTTCCTCTAATATTTTTTGTTCAAATGAATAATAGGAACAAACACAGTCTCATTTTATATTAAACAGACACATTAGAATTTGTGAAATCGAAGAAAATTTCAAATTCCTCCGCATGTTCAATTATTTGACCTTTATGCACTCAAACATTTTCATTTCTCTTGCGTTAAAAAACAAAAAAAAAATCGTTTGAAAGTAATGAAATTTTACTTAATTTAAGAAGAATGGTAAAAAATATCGTATAAATGCAGAAAAAAAATTAAAAGTGGAGGTCTGTGATGTTAATTCTAAGAAATTACTAAAATAGTGCTGATTTTAGCTTAAATGAGGGATTTTTTCTTCTATTTTACAATATGTTTGCTATATTTATCAAATATGATGAGAGAATTCATGACAGTTTATTTAATAGATAATTTAGGACCAGTAAAAAGTAAAAAAAAAAAAAAAAACTTCACAGCACAAAAAAATTCTTTGGGCAGGTTGCATGTAAAAATAGGAATACAAAATTAACATAGTTTAATACTTCGAAAGAGAAAAAAATGATCATTTTCTTCTAAAATAAACCTTCCGCCACAAAATATAGTTCCTCACTTAATGCTTTTGGTATGGAATTTAATCATGAAGTTATAAATGAATATAGTTAAACTGGCATTGTAGAATCCAAATTTACTAAAAAAAAAAAACATTATGCAGAATTTTTAAAATATAGGTTAAGATAAAAATCTGCTCAAAAGCTCAGGAGCGAACCTCGTTAAGCTTTAACTTTTAATGATCTGCATTTATTATCACTTTTCTATTGAAATAAAATCTTTTTAGATGATTGAAAATAATAAAGCAAGTATACATTTGTTCATTATAGTGTCATAGTGCATACAAAACATTTAATATACATTATTCATGGAAATTAACACTTTGCACTCAGTTCTATGGATCTGTGTGTCATTTAGTACATACACAGACACACAATTCTCAATTACCTTTATGGACCTAAAGCTTTTTAGTTTTTTTCAACAAACTAACTTGAGATCTACTTTTATTGATTTCAAGCCTTAATTATCTTTTTAAATTTTACTATTTTTTAAAAATTTGGTAAAGGATGATTGAAAAAACATTGATAAGCCAACAATGGGGGTATGCGTGTTTAAAAGGCTGTTCTGTTAAATTTTTCTGGTCAAACATAATAAAGTATGTGTTTTTTTAAACCTTAGATATAATTCTTTAGGTTTAAAGAAAAATTGGCATACAAACAGTTTAAGATTTTGAGAATTATTATGAATAAAGATATTTTGAGATATTTTTCTTAAAGACATGGACAGATTCAACTTCAATTTGTTAATGTTTTCCAGTAAAGATTTAAAATATTCTCTTGCCAAATGAATATTTTTTGATTTTCATAAATTTTAACTTAAATTTTATGTGATTTGGCAATAGCTAAATAAAATATGATATCAAACTTCTCTATGTTCAATTTTGGCTGTTGAATTTTTAGAGGTATGTACTGTGAGACATGTATGAAAATTAACCTGCAAAGATATAACTTTTCTTGATGTTTTAGTTAGTTTATGGCTTATTGAAGTTATTCAAATTAAAAAATTATCAGTTTAACAGAATATTTTGAAATTATGGACCAACCTTAAGAAGTATAAAAATTTGTAACTTTTAATTTCAGGGAAAAATAAGAGGCATGATCAGGAAGGAAATTCGGAAATTTAACAATAAGCGCACTCGTAAGAAGGGACGAAGAAAGTTAAAGAATAAATCATTAAACGCATAATTTTACATCAACTACCATATTTTCATTAACTAGTAGCTTTGAAATTTGTTAGAATATTTTCACTATGTTAAGTTTCAAAGAAAAATATATTGTTCATTTATGATAAGTCATTGATTTCTTACACATCCTTACTTAGTTATGATTTGATTGTTTATCAAAATAAATTGTCATTTATTGTGCATTAAAGAATAAATGGTATCTGACTAATAAACCTACACCATGCACTCTTTAGGCATCTTACGGCGCCCAATTTTTATCCTAAGGAAGCTTAAGTTTGTGTTCTTGTACCAATATCTATTTTGGCAATAGGAAAAGATAAAGTAAAGGTTTGTCTTTACCATTTATGTAATCCTGAAACTAAATTTTTAAAGAAAGTCATGCTATTCATGGATAATTTGATTCTACAAGTGTTTCAACAACCTTGTTTGTTTTATTATTTAACGTACCTTCGACAAATTTTCAATTAAGACACCAACATTTTCCGGTGGCGGGCTGAATTTCTTACCTTCATGGCACTTGGAAGTTTTAGCAGAGAAAGATCTTTTTCGTGCTGGCACGACACCGAAGCTCAGTTTATCGGTTATTTAAGGAATCACTGTCTAGTTAGTATAGTATGCCAGGGCATTAACGATAGTGGGAAACATGGGAAAATTTGCATAACGGGCGAAGCCCGAATATATTCCCATGTTTCCCATAACGTTGATGTCCCTGGCATAGATTCCTTATATTTCCATTTCATTGTGAAATAAAATTGTAGATTTAGATTTTAAAAATGTAGAAATAGATTTAAATTACACGAGGACTCCCATGCCAGTTTCAATGTAGTCTTCGCCCACTGACGACACACACAAAGGCAGCCGTAAGAGATTACATGCGTATTTAGCCTCCTTAGCGTCAGACACAGAGACAGATGCGCACGAGATTTGCATGCATATTAGGCCTCCCTAGCTCCTGACCTATCGACCTGCCTAATTTACATTCGGGTAGAGTTATAAAGAAATCTTCTCCTCTAACTTTAGAGTTTTCACAGAGAAAAAAATAGAAATGGAAATATGAGCTAACGACCGGTCTCCTCGTCCTGCAATGGGATAAGAACCTGGGGATCTGACTGCAGAGTAAACTCGTAATAATTGTTTTAATAATCTATAGGAACACAATACAATCACGGTTTTTATTTTATCAAATTGATACACAATTGGAATGTAATATAAAAGATATTTGGACTGTGATCCAAGAAAAAAAATCTTGTAAATTAAAGTATAAAATATATATACACCAGTTGCGCCCCGTTATTAGCAGACCTGAATTTATAATTATGTGAAGCGAATTTGTGCAAAGTCTTATGCGTATAGAAAACACTCTCTGTGACCTTCAACTCGACATTTAGATATACTGACGACATATTGTCATTTAACAATGGTAAATTCAATTCTTATGCCGATACGATATATCATGGTGAGCTTGAGATAAAAGATACATCAGAGTCTGACACATCTGTTTCATATTTGGATATTTTACTTGAAAAAGATGTTAATGGCAATCTAACAACCAAGCTCTAAGATAACATGATGACTTTAACTTTTCTACTGTCAACTTCCCTTACTTATGCCATGACTTTCTCAGCAAATACAATCTATCTTTGAGTCAAATGCTGAATGATGTTTTTCAAACGAATTGTAAGTCCATTATTAATATACTGAATTGAAGACGGATTTTTCTGTATTTCCCGACCATGGCAAGGAGCACACGGCGGATGTGACCGGTACCAGGGGATAGCGCCTTATGGCACCAAAACCTCTGATGTTTTGGATGTCCGTGTTTGCTCTGCTCCTATTTTTATTGTTTTATGGACTTCTGATCTTGAATACGAGGGTCGTTCAATAAGTAATGCAATACACAGTGTATCATAATAAATGTTGAGACATTTGAATTTATTTTTTCATATTTGAAAAGTTCTATTAAAGAGCTCCTAAACACAGAAAATTCCACAAATTTCTATATTGTCTTAAAAAATGTTGAGACATTTGAATTTATTTTTTCATATTTGAAAAGTTCTATTAAAGAGTAAACACACAATTCCACAAATTTCTAAATTGTCATCAAAGAAATTCATTTTTAAAGATTGACATATTTCAATATCTATATTGAAAACTGTTTATGAGTGATCTCCGCCAAGAAGATGAAACGAGAGTATTTGAAAATTGTGCTATTTACATAAATCGCCCAAAAACCTCATATTTAAGATATGATTTTTATTTGTAGAAAAAATATCTTTAACGCTGTATACTTTTCAGATGGATTCAATAATTCAAAAGAAAAAAAAACGAGAGTTCAAATATAACAGTCAATGTGGTCAATTTAGGTATTTAGGTAGGTATTTATTTGGTATCATGTCATCATACATAAAACAAATACAAATAATTATACATGATCTTATGAAAGATGAAAGTTGGTAATCAAGATTTTATAAATAAATAATTTAAATGACTAGATAGATACCAGGATAACCCATTAAAGCTGACACTTATTTCCTGCTTCATATTTAAATATCTTTAAAGAATAAATAACAATACATTGTAATGAATATTCCATCATTAAAGCACTATAATATTTTTGGCACAATAATTTTAGCATACACATCTAAATTGGGTTGAAGTATGACAACATTGACATCATCAATAAAATATAAAATACATTTTATAAACTAGTACTGAAACATATCACTTTCATGTTCTAAAATGCCTTTTTTTTTTAAAAGAACTTGTAAAAGTACTCTTTCCTTTTGTACACTTAATAGAGGCTGGTAAAAAATTCCAGTCCTTTATGTCATTATAATAAAAAGTGTCTGTTTGACATGTTTTCACATGAGGTATAAAAAATCTTCATTAGTGGATGCTCTGGTGTTACGTGAAGACACAGCTGATCTAAGAGTAAAATTTTCTGTTAAGTAAGATGGCGCATAGCCATGGTATACATGTATATTATAAACATAGTTTAATCTGAGTTGTCTTACCCGATCTTCTACATTCAACAAATTCAATGTACTAAGAACTTTGTAGTTTATGGTATGCAAAGGGGATACATTCAGTATAAATCTCACCATTTTGTTTTGGCATATTTGTAATTTGTTTTTAAGGCTCTTTGACAAACCTGCATACCATGCACAGCTGGCATAATCTAAGCTGACATTTAAGAGCAGAACATAATAGCATTTTACTTCTTATATCTAAAAACACACACAAAAAAAGAAATGTTTACTTTTTTAACAATGGTCAAAATGAAATAATTTGCTATTAAAAACTAGTATTTAACTTTTTGCATAGAATGAATTGAAATCATTGTACTCAATGTGAAAATCTTGAACCTTTATATAGACCCTTTTAAACTAAAATTTCATTTTTTAAAGTTAGTGATAATATATTATATAACCAGTTTGAACATTGTTTTAACAGAGTGAAATATTTAATTTTTATGTGAAAATAAAATTGCACTATCATCTGCATATAAAATGGTATGGTGAGGGATTTTCACTTTTTGCATAATGTCACAGCAATCATTTCCCGTACAGTTATTAGAAATTTGTAGCCCAGATTTTATAACTTCTACGGTCAGACATAACATTTTCTAAGTTTGCTAGCAAATTGCTTTCTAGAGGACAATTACAATCAATAGAAATAGAATTATTTTACAAATTTTTTATCGCATGATAAAAATTATTGATATAATCTCTATATCCATGTACATTAGTCGTCGAAATTTATTTTGCTTAAGATTTGTTTAATTTTTTAAAAACGGTTTTTAACAATTTAAAAAAAATCGTGTACATCTACTGTTTTTCTCAAAGAGAATTACATTATGAACTTTCAAATTTTATCTCTTCAATATCAATTTGATTAAAAATGCCACGTTAAGATTTGTTTTTCTATATCATTTTTATTCAGATTTTTAGGTGTAAAAATGATTAATATTAAAAATGTGGAATCAAGAAAAATTAAACTATGAATGCATAACGGTAGGCATGAAGTATAGGTTTGACCAAGCAAGGGTACAAAAGTCCTCTCATTGTTCATTGTACTTCAGTTTATGTAAATATGCATGGGTGACCGCGCAAGGAAATTAGATGCTTTATTTTTTTTAAAAATCATTTTCGTAACCTTATGACGTTTTACCGTTCTTTTTTAAATATTGTTAATTTGACCCAACCTACGATAAAAACTTAATTACATTTAAACATGGATACGTTGGACTGAAATGTACTCAATCATTTTAATCAAATGAAAGCAGTGTGTTTAGAGCATCCCTAAAGATGAGTATGTTGTTTCTATGTTCATGGATACAAAGATGTTTAAAAATAGTCTGTACACGATTTTTTTTAAAAACTTGATTAAAAACCAGCATTAAAAAATTAAACAAATTTTGGCTTATATAAATAGGTAGTCATTTTTCGAAAAAAAAATTAAAAATCACTTGTCAAATTTATCTCTTTATATCAATTTGATTAAAAATATATTTTTGGTTTTCTAAAGCATTTTTAATCTTTTTGTGGCGGGGAAATAATCTAATGATTTAATGGGAAATAATTTAATGCTATAATGGATAAGAAAAAAATAAAACTTTGAATGCATTGTTGCCACCACATATACGTACAATTTTTTTTTCATAAATACTTCAATTTTAAATTTGATTGAGAACATCAAGGAAAAATGTTTAATTTTTTTTTATCATTTTCATAACCCTATGACGTTTTGCTGTTCGTTTTTAAATATTGTTAATTTGACCCAACCTACGATAAAAACTTAATTACATTTAAACATGGATACGTTGGACTGAAATGTACTCAATCATTTTAATCACAGAAAGCAGGATAAAAAATTACAGAGGCAGATTTTAGTTGTGTTATCTGTGTTCTGAATTCAAGGATTTTTAATTAAGGAGTGTCGATTTTTTTATGAAGTAAAATTGTACTTAACTAAAGCAGTGTTAAGCTTGAGTGTGGCGGGGTGGGGTGGGGGG